GGGACATTAGTTAAGTGTTCCAGCCAAGGTACTATAGTGGGACATTAGTTAAGTGTTCCAGCCAAGGTACTCTAGTGGGACATTTGTTAAGTGTTCCAGCCAAGGTACTGTAGTGGGACATTAGTTAAGTGTTCCAGCCAAGGTACTGTAGTGGGACATTAGTTAAGTGTTCCAGCCAAGGTACTCTAGTGGGACATTTGTTAAGTGTTCCAGCCAAGGTACTATAGTGGGACATTTTCCAACATTCAAGTGTTTTATAAATACGTAAAGCTTTATTTCTACATAATATATACATGGCTTTCACAACATTGGATAACTTTTAATAGTACACATGGAAAGTTCTGGTTATGCAGAGTATAACCATATGTATGTATGATTATGCAGAGCATAACCATACATGTATACAAAGACATTAAAGATGGATAAAATAAAAGTAATCCTTTTAATTATAACAAGCATACATGCATCAAAGTACATATATTAAAAGTATTGAACGATCATTATACTAAGATAACTTGATTGAGTTTAATTCCAGTCAGATAAATTATGTTCTTAGGTACAAACATCTTGGCAGAAATACTTTCAGATTTAATCTTATGATAAGGGTATCCCGTCAAATATTTTCTGACGGTCAAATACCTAGAAAAATAAAGGGACAAAAAGTATTAGCAAAGAGTAGTAGAGTGTGTAAGCAACTGTCTACCCAGAGTGGAATATAAATTAGTACAGATGTCTCATGTTGTTGATGTGTTTCATGTGTCTGGCATTTGTACTAAGTACAGTCAGGCCATGAACACTTGGGTATTTTAAGAAGCTTAGTGCACTTTACGAACAGTGCTGATCATGTGAGGTGACTGTAAATACAGAATCACCGAAAGAAATGGAGCAACACATAATAGTGAATTAGAATAAAATGAATCCATGAAAAACAAGGGACATCTGTAATTATGTTAAATTTTAAGTACATTTCTTAAGGCCCAAATTTTCTGCTATGCTTCTAACCATCATACAGTGGACCCCCGGTTAACGATATTTTTTCATTCCAGAAGTATGTTCAGGTGCCAGTACTGACCGAATTTGTTCCCATAAGGAATATTGTGACATAGATTAGTCCATTTCAGACCCCCAAACATACACGTACAAACGCACTTACATAAATACACTTACATAATTGGCCGCATTGGGAGGTGATCGTTAAGTGGGGGTCCACTGTACTTAGTGGACCAAGGATTAACTAGTTTACTTTGCATCTAGTATTGTGATTTTCACTAGGTGTATATTTACTGAAGTATGCGTTACTCTTGGATAACATCTGGGACTCTTCAGTCACTAGCTTTGTGAGAAGTACAGTGCCTGAACTCTACAGGAGGGGTGGAGATATTTGCTATTTGGAGAATCATCTGAACTGTCCTATCTGCATGACTCTGGCAAGACATTGATTGTATAAATGATGGTGAAAGTGTTTTTCTTTGGGGGGGTCACCCTGCCTTTGTTGAAGATGGCCATTGTGTTCATACACATCAGAAGTTATCATACAGTGGACCCTCGGTTATCGGCCGTAATCTGTTCCAGAAGGTCGATCTAAATTCCCTGCCTCTCTTCCAGACTCCCTGTTTCTCTGCTACACTCCCTCTGTCCATGCTACACTCCCTGCCTGCCTGCTACACTCCCTTTTGCAACATTAGCTTCCTTGATGTTTGGATGAATGAGCAGAAGTGTCCTCACTCGCTCAGAGAGACAGCCAGACTGACTCAAGAATGCGCGAGCAGCTGGCGGGCAGGCAGGTTGACGCATCCCATACGGCCGATGAGCGAAATAACAGCCGATAACCGGAAGCCGAAAAACCAACCTATAACCGAGTTCGCCGATAAGCAGAACGGCCAATAACCAAGGGGCCACTGTTCTTCATGCATGTCGTACCAACACACAGTATTGAATTTAATACATGCAGTCATTGACATGGAGATTTTAATTGTGGTGAAATACAGAAACAGCAAAAGCTGATGACTAGTGAGGCATGTATTTTGCAGACACACTATTAAGAAGATAATACGTAAATGGAAGAGAGCCATTACTGGTGCAAAGTTTCACCTGCAGAGTGGGTCAAACATTGATGAAGCACTTACGTGAAAAGTTGTATGCAATAAGGACGTTTTTGTGTGAAACTTAAAGTTTGGTTGCTGTCTACCATCCTTTTACACGGCAACACCTTAATTAAAGTAATAATTTCACATTAGCCTTAACAACCTCATACATTCACATCATCTGTACTCGACATAAACATACTCTGAAATGTCAATTTGTGCATTTTTTTGGGGGGGGGGGGTTTAAGTGCTTTGCATAGCTTACGTTTTGTGAAAATATTCATCTAGTGTGTCAACAAAAACTAACTGTTTGTTCCCAAACCCCCCACACTTAGGAACCTTATGACAATGTTTCAGTCTGTCCGAGACCATTGTCCAGTCCAGGACGGACTGTAACATCATCGTAAGGTGCCTCTTCTAAGTGATGCTTTTTGGTAAATTGTTCCAGCCACAGTATTGTGATTTTTTTTAATTCTTAGCCATTTTTACCCACAAAATCATAATAACACAATTGCAGACAAATTGGGTGGGGGGAAGGGTTGAATCCATGGCAATTGAGTTGTAAAACTCCCTTGCCTGCAAGTTTAAGACTCGCCATTTACCATTGGGTCAAACCCCACCCATTCAGTGATTTCTTTACCATTTGTATGTCTGCAAGATGCACAGTGGTAGACTAGTCACCAAATATAGTTGATACTAACGCGACGGTCTGGAGTTTTGAGACTCTTTGATTGCGGGTTCTATCCCCGCCCGTGGTATGGTTTGTTTACAATCGTGCCATTACGATTTCATGAGTCAAATCGATAAAGTTGTCAGTTGATGCATCATCATGGAATCTTAAATTTTTTGGTGTCAAGTGAAATTTTTGAAATACAGTGGACCCCCGCATAACGATGGCATCACATAGCGATTTTTCCGCATACCGATTACTTTTATCGCAAAATTTTTGCCGCGCATACCGATTAAAAACCCGCTTACCGATTTTCGTCCGAGACGCGTCCAGTGTGCCCTCAGCCAGCCTCACATGTGCCGGCCGTCCCATTGTTTACCAGCCAGCCTCCGCGGTAACATCCAAGCATACACTCGGAATATTTCGTATTATTACAGTATTTTCGGTGCTGTTTCTGGAAAATAAGTGACCATGGGCCCCAAGAAAGCTTCTAGTGCCAACCCTACACCTCAAAGGGTAAGAATTACTATAGAAATGAAGAAAGAGATAATTGATAAGTATGAAAGTGGAGTGCGTATAGCCGACCTAGTCAAGCTGTACAAGAAACCCCAATCAACCATCGCTACTATTGTGGGCACCAGAAAGACAATCAAGGAAGCTGTTCTTGCCAAAGGTTCAACTGTGTTTTCGAAACAAAGATCGCAAGTGATGGAAGATGTTGAGAGACTCTTATTGGTGTGGATAAATGAAAAACAGCTAGCAGGAGATAGCATCTCTCAAGCGATCATATGTGAAAAGGCTAGGAAGTTGCATGAGGATTTAATTAAAAAAATGCCTGCAACTAGTGATGATGTGAGTGAATTTAAGGCCAGCAAAGGTTGGTTTGAGAGATTTAAGAAGCGTAGTGGCATCCATAGTGTGATAAGGCATGGTGAGGCTGCCAGTTCGGACCACAAAGCGGCTGAAAAATATGTGCAGGAATTCAAGGAGTACATAGAAACTGAAGGACTGAAACCTGAACAAGTGTTTAATTGTGATGAAACAGGCCTGTTCTGGAAGAAAATGCCAAGCAGGACCTACATTACTCAGGAGGAAAAGGCACTCCCAGGACATAAGCCTATGAAAGACAGGCTTACTTTGTTGATGTGTGCCAATGCTACTGGTGATTGCAAAGTGAAGCCTTTATTAGTGTATCACTCTGAAACTCCCAGAGCGTTCAGGCAAAAGAATGTCCTCAAGGATAATTTGTGTGTGCTGTGGAGGGCAAACAGTAAGGCATGGGCCCACTAGGGAATTTTTCTATAACTGGTTACACCATGCATTTGCCCCCAATGTGAAAAATTACCTAACTGAAAAGAAATTAGAACTTAAGTGCCTCCTGGTGTTAGACAATGCCCCTGGTCATCCTACAGACGTGGCAGAGCGACTTTATGGGACATGAGCTTCATTAAGGTGAAGTTTTTGCCTCCTAATACCACGCCTCTCCTGCAGCCCATGGACCAGCAGGTTATTGCAAACTTCAAGAAACTGTACACAAAAGCTCTGTTTGAAAGGTGCTTTGTAATGACCTCAGAAACTCAACTGACTCTAAGAGAGTTTTGGAGAGATCACTTTAATATCCTCAATTGTGTAAACCTTATAGGTAAGGCTTGGGAGGAAGTGACTAAGAGGACCTTGAACTCTGCTTGGAAGAAACTGTGGCCAGAATGTGTAGACAAAAGGGATTTTGAAGGGTTTGAGGCTAACCCTGAGAATCCTGTGCCAGTTGAGGAATCCATTGTGGCATTGGGAAAGTCCTTGGGGTTGGAGGTTAGTGGGGAGGATGTGGAAGAGTTGGTGGAGAGGACAATGAAGAACTAACCACTGATGAGCTGATAGATCAACTTCAAGAGCAAGAGGCCAGACCTGGGGAAACTGGTTCAGAGGAGGGGAGAGAGAAATTGAAGAAGTTGCCTACTACAAAGATAAAGGAAATCTGTGCTAAGTGGCTTGAAGTGCAAACCTTCATGGATGAAAATCACCCTCACACAGCTATTGCAAGCCGTGCTGGTGACTATTACACTGACAATGTTGTGAAACACTTTAGGCAAGTCATAAAGGAACGAGAGGTACAGGCCACTATGGACAGATATCTTGTGCGAAAGAAGTCCAGTGACTCTGAAGCTGGCCCTAGTGGCATTAAAAAAAGAAGGGAAGTAACCCAGAAAAGGACTTACTACCTCAAGTCCTAATGGAAGGGATTCCCCTTCTAAACAGTAAGAAGATAATGCTCTCCCCTCCTCCCATCCCATCAATCATCACCAGATCTTCAATAAAAGTAAGTGTCATTTAATTGTGCATGCCTTTTTCAGTTTGTGTGTATTAAAATTAACATTTCATGTGGTAAAAAAAAAATTTTTTCATACTTTTGGGCGTCTTGCACGGATTAATTTTATTTCCATTATTTCTTATGGGGAAAATTCATTCGCATAACGATTATTTCGCATAACGATTATCCCTCTTGCACGGATTAAAATCGTTAACCGGGGGTCCACTGTATTAAGTTTTGAGAAACATTGGGTAATGGCCAGTTGTACTATTCATTTTTTATGCTGTCTCCAGCTTACAAACATCCAAACATCTGCATTTATAAGCAGGGCACTTGTGAACCAGAGAGGTATACAGTGATAGCTCTCATATCCGAATTATATGTGCCGAGACCGGTTTGGAAACTCGAAGTTTCCAGATACGTGAGGGGGGAAAAATGCACATCCATTCCATCATATCGCCATCCATACCCTGTTATATCGCCATCAGCAATGGCATTGTAAGTTTAAAAAAGGAGTCCAGTGTCATCTGGTGGTAGTCCCAGACACTGGATTTCATGGAGCACATGACCATAACTTTTCAAATGGGCTGTGGACAGTGGATGCTCCAAATACTCCAAAAGTGTTTTGACACCTGCCCTTGCTGCTGAAGTTTTTGATCTTGGAGACATTGGGTCGTCTTCGCCGTTGTCACTTTTGGAATGTTTCAGGTGAAACGCTGATTTTACAATCTCTGCATCCATCGTATTGCACACCAGGATCATTTTCGTCACTCACTAGCCAATTCTGCACATCAGCACCACGAACCATCATACCACTACCACGTTGTTGTAGGTACCACTTCATCACACAGTGATAGAGTTCCAAGCTCTGTGGCTTTGCCATCACTTTTGTTTCAGCACTTTTTCCTGTTTTTGAGGCGGCAGAAAACTCACTTGTGTAGGTTATAATCTTATCACGAGCCTTCTTGATATCACAGAGGGTGGCTAAGAGCATGACTCTTAGTGGCCACCCAGTACACTAAAGTGCATGCCAAGTTTGATTCAGCCTTCTGCCATATCCGAACGGCTGTTCAGATGTTTCGGCAATAATTTTAGTATTTTGCCCTTTTCCAGGGCCTGGTCAGATGTTGGCGAGGTTCAGATAATGGCAGGCCGGTTATGTGAGGTATCGCTGTACTTTTAGAAGGTATATTTGTGAAAAAGAAAGGTATACTTTTAGAAGGTATACTTGTGAGCCAGAGAGGTATACTTTTAGAAATAGCTATCATCTGCTATACCTGAGAATGTTGTATTGTGCCCAGCGAGGATAGATATAAAAATATAATCATTATTACCAGAATTTATTGTTGTAAGTAACAGTCGAGGAGGTGAATGTGAGGCTTATCACAATTCTGTTTCAGCATCCACACTCGTGAATACCTCACTTCAGTTAATGTTTTACAACCACTACTGTGTGGCCCTTTCATGTTTAGCACTTACCTTGATTATTCAGATTCAGATTTTTATTTGTTTTATGCAGTACACATAGTTTAATAAAATATTGTTAGGTGCAAAAGAAAGCCACTAGTATGCAGTGTATTTTGAGCAAACTAATCTTAATGCTTCAGGACTACTTAAGAACTAGACACAGATTGTTGACACTCACTGAACCACAGTACAAACATGTGAAATATACCTGCCCAGTGGCAGCCATAACGAATTTAGTTATTTAGTAAACAGAGGTATACAGGCGCGCCTCGCTTTACAGTACTTCACTAAAAGGGTTTTTCAGTTACAGTGGACCCCCGCATAACGATTACCTCCGAATGCGACCAATTATGTAAGTGTATTTATGTAAGTGCGTTTGTACGTGTATGTTTGGGGGTCTGAAATGGACTAATCTACTTCACAATATTCCTTATGGGAATAAATTCGGTCAGTACTGGCACCTGAACATAATTATGGAGTGAAAAAATATCGTTAACCGGAGGTCCACTGTATACCCATTTATTTATTCAGACTTCCTACAATAAATATATTTACCACTCTAAGCTAAGGATGAAAATATCTTAAGTAATGTGTGTACTGTATACACATTTTTTAAGCCTAGCTCTATTGTTCACTTAATATATGACAGTGTAAATGTGTTACCAGGCTTTTATATGCATTTGAAAGTGAAAAAGACTGATTCACTTTACAGTAATAGCCCAGAACCTAACCTGCTGTACAGGTCCCCACTTATACAGCAGGTTAGGTTCTGGGCTACTGCTGTACTGGAGGTTCCCACTTATACGGCAGGTTAGGTTCCGGGCTACTGCTGTACTGGAGGTCCCCACTTATACGGCAAGTTAGGTTCCGGGCTACTGCTGTACTGGAGGTTCCCACTTATACAGCAGGTTAGGTTTTGGGCTACTGCTGTACAGGAGGTCCCCACTTACACAGCAGGTTAGGTTCTGGGCTACTGCTGTACTGGAGGTTCCCACTTATGCGGCAGGTTAGGTTCTGGGCTACTGCTGTACTGGAGGTTCCCACTTATACGGCAAGTTAGGTTCCGGGCTACTGCTGTACTGGAGGTCCCCACTTATACGGCAGGTTAGGTTCCAGGCTACTGCTGTACTGGAGGTCCCCACTTATACGGCAGGTTAGGTTCCAGGCTACTGCTGTACTGGAGGTCCCCACTTATACGGCAGGTTAGGTTCCAGGCTACTGCTGTACTGGAGGTCCCCACTTATACGGCAGGTTAGGTTCCAGGCTACTGCTGTACTGGAGGTCCCCACTTATACGGCGGTTGGGACTCCGGCTACTGCTGTACTGGAGGTCCCCACTTATACGGCTGGTTAGGCTCCGGGCTACTGCTGTACTGGAGGTCCCCACTTATACGGCTGGTTTGGTTCCGGGCTACTGCTGTACTGGAGGTCCCCACTTATACGGCAGGTTAGGTTCCAGGCTACTGCTGTACTGGAGGTCCCCACTTATACGGCTGGTTAGGCTCCGGGCTATTGCTGTACTGGAGGTCCCCACTTATACGGCTGGTTAGGCTCTGGGCTACTGCTGTACTGGAGGTCCCCACTTATACGGCTGGTTAGGTTCCGGGCTACTGCTGTACTGGAGGTCCCCACTTATACAGTAGGTTAGGTTTTGGGCTACTGCTGTATAGGAGGTCCCCACTTATACGGCTGGTTAGGTTCCGGGCTACTGCTGTACTGGAGGTCCCCACTTATACAGTAGGTTAGGTTTTGGGCTACTGCTGTACTGGAGGTCCCCACTTATACTGCTGGTTAGGTTCCGGGCTGCTGCTGTACTGGAGGTCCCCACTTACACAGTAGGTTAGGTTTTGGGCTACTGCTGTATAGGAGGCCCCCACTTATACAGCAGGCTAGGTTCTGGGCTACTACTGTACAGGAGGGCCCCACTTATACAGCAGGTTAGGTTCTGGGCTACTGCTGTACAGGAGGGCCCCACTTATACAGCAGGTTAGGTTCTGGGCTACTACTGTACAGGAGGGCCCCACTTATACAGCAGGTTAGGTTCTGGGCTACTGCTGTACAGGAGGGCCCCACTTATACAGCAGGTTAGGCTCCGGGCTACTGCTGTACAGGAGGGCCTTACTTATACAGCAGGTTAGGTTCTGGGCTACTGCTGTACAGGAGGGCCTCACTTATACAGCAGGTTAGGTTCCGGGCTACTGCTGTACAGGAGGGCCTCACTTATACAGCAGGTTAGGTTCCGGGCTACTGCTGTACAGGAGGGCCTCACTTATACAGCAGGTTAGGTTCCGGGCTACTGCTGTAAGTACAAATGTTGTACTCTGTGTCTTCTATATTGATTTTTTGTTCTTCAGTAGTTTAACATCATTGGTTTGGCAGACATTTGAAGCTAGTTCAGTTGATTCAGAAATAAAATCCTTTGGTTGGAGAATGTTTACAATGATGGCCAATTAACATGATCTGTGTCCACCACAGTTGCTATTACCAGCCTTCTGCTCGCCCATATTAATAATAATACATCTAGGTCTTGATTAGTGAGAATGATGAATCCCTGTAAAGTGGTCACATTATTCAAATTCACATTTCAATGCAATTATTGTGCATGAATTGAAAAGTTTGGGGAGAAAACTAACACTAATTTTGCACTAAATAATCACACTAATCGAAACCTGGATGTAATTTGTTTTCCACTAAATTTTTTTAACCCTTAAACTGTCCAAACATAGATCTACGTTCATGTGCGTAGCGCTCCGACCTTTATCTTCCCCGTTTGAAAGCATGTAAAAAAAAAAAAAGATCTATGTTTGGAACCCCCCCCCCCACACACACACACACACGTGGGCATAGATCTACGTTTGGACAGTTAAGGGTTAGTGACTCATGAAATCATGATAATTCCAAATAAACCACGGTACGGGTGGGGTTAGAACCCATGGCAAGTGAGTCGTAAAACTTCAGGCTAGTGCATAAGTGATCCCAGGCGCCTCTGGTCAGAGGTGCCTGGGATCACTTAGTATCTTAGTCCATCAGATTGACGATTTATTTTTAATTTACATATCTATTTAAAGGATTGTTAAATTTAAATGTGATAAACTATTGGGAAATGTTGCCTTAGATGGTGAAGACTGACTCAGTGTACAGAGATATGACCCTTCAAGGTGGTGCCTTGATATGTGACCCTTCAAGGTGGTGCCTTGATATGTGACCCTTCAAGGTGGTGCCTTGATGTGACCCTTCAAGGTGGTGTCTTGATATGTGACCCTTCAAGGTGGTGCCTTGATATGTAACCCTTCAAGGTGGTGCCTTGATATGTGACCCTTCAAGGTGGTGCCTTGATATGTGACCCTTCAAGGTGGTGCCTTGATGCTGGTGAAGAGGTTTTAGGCCAGAGACTTGGCATACACTTTTCCTGGACCAGTCTTGTTATACCTTCGATGAGTCTCGAGACTTTTCCTTCTCCTGGAGCTTAGGCCAGGCTTGTCTTAATGCTAGCCTGGTCACCCAGGAGTTTGTTGCTGGTTGCTCGCTGCCCACACATCCAGCACAGCCTGGTTGACCACTACAGGTATGATGACTGCCCACAAAGATGAAAAGTGATCATCCAGGCTGTTGTTGCTGGTGGCTCGCTGCCCACACGTCCAGCACGGCCTGGTTGACCCCTACAGGTTTGACGGCTCCCCACAAAGATGAAAAGTTAAAAAATATCTAAAGCCGTTTTCAATTATTTTGTTAAATTCTTAACCGAGCCATTAATGTTATTGTAAGGTTCTTCAGGGGTTCAAATTGTTCTTTGATCAAACTGGCTGGACTCTGGGAGTAGGACTCTCAAAACTGGCTGGACTCTGGGAGTAGGACTCTCAAAACTGGCTGGACTCTGGGAGTAGAAGGACTCTCAAAACTGGCTGGACTCTGGGAGTAGGAGGACTCTCAAAACTCATCAAAGGTTTACCCTATTCACAGGTTCTCTCTGACCCCTGAGAGTTTAGCACTTCCCCATTCTATAGTTCAAGGTTACCAGTGGTACTGCATACGGTAACATTAATAAGAGAAGCATTGAATAACCCATATGAGTTTAGTGCTTTTTTGTGACTAATAATTGAGAAATTCTGAAATAGAAAGAGCACTGAAGAATTACATATCTCCAAGTTGTTTTTATTATTATTATTATTATTATTATTATTATTATTATTATTATTATTATTATTATTCAAGTTGTACAGTGAGCATTCTTGATGCACCTTGGGTCAGCTTACACAATTTAGGGTGGAAAATGTAGACTAAGATCGTCTTGGGACATTTTTAAGGTCACTCTTGACTGGTGCCTAGACCTGACTGAAATTTGGTCTAACAATTTCCAATCCAAAATTGTGGGTGGCTCGTTTGTTGTTTCAAAACAGTATTGTGGGTTGCTTGTGAGTTGTTCCAGTTATGGTATTAAGTCATTTGTGAATTGTTCCAGTGCAGTATTGTGGGTTGCTTGTGAATTGTTCCACCACAACATAGTTGCTTGTGAATTGTTCCAGCCAATATGTTGTAGGTTGCTTGTGAATTATTCCAGCACGGTGTTGTGGGTTAATTGTGAATTGTTCCAGCCATGGTATTGTGGGTTACTTGTGATTTGTTCTTGCCAGTATTTCGAACCCCTCAAGGAATGTGCCTTGATTCTGATGAAGGGCTCTTGATCCAAAGAGGTGGATATATCTTCCACTTCCTTGGATTGAACCAGATTGCCTCCCATTCCCCATGTGCTGTATGACCCCCTGTGGTTTTAGGTCTTTCCTATAATTCATCTTGGTGACATCCTCTCAGTTGATGTCATTCTCTCAAATACCTCTGTCTCTTCCCTTCCCCCTGCCCCCCATGCTGTTCAGGGCTGTGACACCCATGTGGTTTTAGCTCTCTCCATGAATGCCAGTAATAATGTCCTCGGTAAATCACATCATGCACAAAGAAGGTCGAATCTGCCAACTGCAAAAATAAACACAAATACCCTATTGAGGAATGAATCTTGATTTATTGGGAATGTACGTTCTTAAACAGATTTAACTGAATGACGAGAAACACTTTTAAACGAAGCGTTAGTGTATATGTAATTTTTTTTTATTTATACATTCAAGTTGACATTTTTGCAAAGAATTAGTTTTAAAAACAGCATTAATATTTTTGTTAAATAGCTGGATCAACACATCTTTTCATTTCTACAATGAAAGTTAGATGATTGTTTTATGATATGCAGTTTCTGTGTATACATTGAGTGAAATGTATCATTTCAAGAGATCTTCTGCCACCTAAAGTGTGTCTAGTGCCTCTAGATTGACAACATACTAGGTTAAGTTGTGTACAGTTGTGTGTCCACTAAGCCATGTATATGTATAGCATATGTAGGGATGCCATATTTATTATTATTAAGAAGCAAGTTGTTCAGGAACCTGCTGAGCTGATTGTGGTGTATATTGGTCATTGAGACTATGGAGTCCACAGAATATATAGCGAGTCCCAAGCTTACAGATGCTGGAGTTACAATCATCTGCAGGTACAAACAAGGTCGTAAGTAACGAGATTTACAAATACTGTATAATTTTCCTGCTGTCCAACTTCGATTACAAACATGTATGACACATACCTTTCCTTTGTACTGTTTTTTCTATAAGAAAATCATTCTGATTAACTTTCTAAGTAATGAATAATGTGTGTAGGTTGGAATACCAGGGATGTAACTCTTTGAGATCCCTTGTGTTTGATATTATTACAGTAGCACCTGTAAGGACAGGATATAATTCCTCTACTGATCTGATTGAATGTACTTTGTAATATGCTAATATAAGTATAATGTACTAGTTGTTTCGACTGGTTTGATTTAAAGTCTATCTACTACACAAGGGTCATTAAGACTGTCACCTGTACAACAACACTCTTAAAAGAAATTTTAATCCCTAAAAATGGGATTGTAACTCAGCATATACATGATGAGATAAACATATATCTTCATATATATATCCTAGTAGTATACCAGTACTGTACATTACAAACATGAATATGTAGCTGGGAAATTGAGCACTTGCATTTTGTAAGCCAAATAAGTTAGGTATATTACCCTCCATGGTAGGGTAATGGTAAGAATATTTCTTTTGTATTCTGTGAGTTGAATTAAAGAATGTAATGATTGTCTCCTGATTGTAAATTATTACCTTTTGTCAGCAAGATGTCACTGAATAAAATGTTGATATTAAAATATATTTCTGAATGGACATGTGTATACAAATAATATATATACATACAAACTGGATGCCATAAAGAATAAATGAAAAAAAATTTTTGTTTTAATACTTCTGGGTGTCAGGAACGGATTAATTGTATTTACATTATTTCTTATGGGGAAAATTGATTCGATAATCGTCGCACTTCCAGGAACGGAGTAACAACGATAAACGAGGGACCACTGTATATTAGTTGTATACACATGTCTATTTAGAAATTTATTTTAACATGTATACAAATAATATACAGTGGTCCCTCATTTATTGTCATTAATCCGTTCCTGGAAGTGCGACGATTATCGAAATAGACGATTTTCAATCAATTTTCCCCATAAGAAATAATGTAAATACAATTAATCCGTTCCTGACACCCAGAAGTATTAAAACAAAAAAATTTTTTATATGAAATATAGATGTAGTACATAAACAATACAATGGCACATGATGAATGAAACATTAACAGCATAACACTTACCTTTATTGGAGATTCTTCTTAGTGTATGGGAGACTGGAGGAGGAGAGAGATTGGATTAGTTACTGTTTGAAAGGGGAATCCCCTTCCATCAACACCTCAGGTACCAAGTCCTTTTCTGGGGTTACTTCTCTTCTCTGTTTCTTAATGCCACTAGGACCAGCTTGAGAGTCACTGGAGTTCTGTCTCGCAAAAAAAGTGTCCAGAGAGCTCTGTTTCTGGCATCTCTTTAAAACTTCCCTAAAATGGGCCAAGACCGTCGCTGTACAAGTTGCCGATATGGCTTGCAACATCCTTCTCAGGGTGATGTTTCTCCATAAATCTTTCCATCCTACCCCACATTTCAAAAGTCTCCTTAATTTCTGAAGAAGGCACCTTCTTCCATCTCTCTTCCTCCTCTTCTGCAGCAAGATTCTGAGCTGCGATCTGTTGCTGTTCCTGCTGAAGCTCTTGCAGCTCCTCAGTGGTTAGCTCTTCGTTGTGGTCCTCCACCAACTCTTCCACATCCTCCAAACACATCCAACCCCATGGAACTCCCCAATGCCACAATAGATTTCACAACTGACATAGGCTCATCAGGGTCAGCCACAAACCCTTCAAAATCCCTCTTGTGGACACAATCTGGCCACAATTTTCTCCAAGCAACAACAGCTTCCTTGACTTCCTTTTTCTTTGCCACGATGGAAGATATGGTTGTATGGGGTTTGTTATACATCCTGGCCAGTTCAGCCACACGTACGCCACTTTCATATTGTTCAATGATGTTTTTCTTAAATTCAATCGTATTTCTCACCTTCTTTACCAAAGGCTTAGCACTAGGAGCTTTCTTTGGAGCCATGGTAGCTTATTTAGCACTTGCAAGCACTAAAATAAATGGAATATTATGAAATATTTTGAATGAACAAGTGAGGGGACCGTCGCTCACTGGTAAAGAATGGCACACTGGCTGGGAAGGGGGGCCGAGGCGGCTCAGAGCTGTGAGTACGCGTCCAGGACGAACGACGATTAGCGAGTCAACCGACCATTTGCGAGCAAATGTTTGGACGAAAATAACGTAACGATTTCCGAAAAGGACAACTATCGAGCCCGACAATTATAGAGGGACCACTGTACAGTGGAACCCTGGTTATAGGTCATAATCCGTTCCAGAAGGTCGACTTAAATCTAAAATAGCCTAAAACTGAATCAATATTTCCCATAAGAAATCATGTACATGTAAATGCAATTAATCCATTCCAGGCACCCAAAAATATTAACAAAAATTACATTTTTTAACCCTTAAGCTGTCTAAATGTAGGTCTACATTTGCACGCGTAGTTCTCCGAACGTAGATCTACGTTTTTTTTTACATTGTTTCTTATGGAGAAAATCAAGGTCAGAGCACTACGCACGCAAACATAGATCTACGTTTGGACAGTTTAACCCTTTGACTGTTTCAGGCCCCTCTCTGAAACTGTCATTCTATGTCGCTCAATTTTTGAAAAAAAAAAAAATTATTTTTTCTTATGAAATGATAGAGAATCTTTTCCCGATGGTAATGACACCAAAAGTTCGAAATTTGGTCGAAAACTCGTGGAATTATGCTCCCGCGAAGTTAGCGGTCTCGGCGACATATGCGAATCGGCGATTTCGCCGACTTTGAGCCCTATTTTCAGCCAATTCAATTGTTCCAGTTGACCAAACTCATAGCTATTTCTTTAGAACTCCATTTTATCTATCAGCTGAGTACAAGAAACCTCCCATTTACTAATTTGGACTACCCAATATGGTGGTCAGAAATTGGCAATTTGGCCAATTTCACGCAAAATAAAAAGATGCCAATTTCAAAATAGGGTCCAGAATAAACAAGGTAGACATTCGTGGCACTAAAATAACATATGCTCTGTTCATTAGTCACATCTCTAGGCCCCTCTTATATTATTATTGCTTTCTATTTTGATTTTTTTATTCATACAAAAAAATACAAAATTTACTGTTATGCAGACGACTGCATTATTGTAAAAATTGTATAAATAATATCAGTGCACTAGTGAAAGAATATTAGACTCCCCAGTTGACGTGTATTGGACGTGTGGTGTGATTTATTTACTCTTGAACATTGGTAAAAATCGAACATTTCCGCTACTTTGAGCTCAGTTTCAAGGTCGTTTTCATCGTAAAAGTAATGAAAATCATCTCTATTTCTGTAATATGTTTTCCATTTTATCACCTAAGACCATGAAAACGCGAATACAACGATAAATACTATACGAAAATACACCTCAAAGTCGGCGTTTTATTCCAAAAAAACGATCAGTTTTTTTTTTCTCAATTACGCAATGTGTGCTGCAGGATTTTTTTTATGTGGTGCACAGTGACCACACAGACCCATTCTCTCACATGTGGGCCTACCAGCTTTCTCCCACTTGATTTGAAGCCGCTAGAATTATTGAGTATATATACGTCAGAAACATTGGCTCGTAAGACGTATTTATACGTCGAAAACAGTCAAAGGGTTAAGGGTTAAAGATTAGCTATAGTTTTACATACACAAAACAGTGAGAACTAAATGGCCGATATCTGGAGCAAAATTTTGCCGATAAAAATGCTCGATTTCCGAATTGGCTGATTTCCGCGACAGCCTATAACCAGGGTTCCACTGTATATACATACATACATACAAACTGGATGCCATAAAGAATAAATAGTCGATATACCATAGTTTTACATACACAACAGTGAGAACTAAATAAAATAAATAAATGAACATTTAAATCACTATTAAATACCTTTATTGAAGATTTATTGGCTTATGGAAGACAGTAAGGAGAGAGGGAGGACTGATTATTGTTTGGAAGGGGAATCCCCCTCCATAAGGACTTCAGGTATCAAAGTCCTCTCTGGGGTTACTTCTCTCCCTGCCTTCCTCCTACACTCCCTGCTACACCCTGCCTCCCTACTACACTCCCTGCCTCCCAGCTACACTCCCTCCATGCTACACTCCCTGCATTCCTCCTAACACTCCCTGCTACACCCTGCCTCCCTACTATACTCCCACTGGTGGTCCGGTGGCCTGGTGGCTAAAGCTCCCGCTTCACACACGGAGGGCCCCGGGTTCGATTCCCGGCGGGTGGAAACATTTCGACACGTTTCCTTACACCTGTTGTCCTGTTCACCTAGCAGCAAATAGGTACCTGGGTGTTAGCCGACTGGTGTGGGTCGCATCCTGGGGGACAAGATTGAGGACCCCAATGGAAATAAGTTAGACAGTCCTCGATGACGCACTGACTTTCTTGGGTTATCCTGGGTGGCTAACCCTCCGGGGTTAAAAATCCGAATGAAATCTTATCTTATCTTAGCTACACTCCCTGCCTCCCTACTATACTCCCAGCTACACTCCCTGCCTCCCTACTATACTTCCAGCTACATACCCTCCATGCCTGCTACACTCCCTGCCTTCCTCCTACACTCCCTGCTATACCCTGCCTCCTTACTACACTCCCAGCTACACTCCCTCCATGCTACACTCCCTCCATGCCACACTCCCTCCATGCCACACTCCCTCCATGCCACACTCCCTCCATGCCTGCTACACTCCCTGCCTTCCTCCTACACTCCCTGCTACACCCTGCCTCCCTTCTACACTCCCTCCATGCCTGCTACACTCACTGCCTTCCTCCTAACACTCCCTGCTTCACCCTGCCTCTCTACTACACTCCCTGCCTGCCTGCTACACTCCCTGCTACACTCCTTCCCTCCATCCTGCACTCCCTGCATGCCTGCTACACTCCCTGCATGCCTGCTACACTCCCTGCCTTCCTCCTACACTCCCTGCCTTCCTCCTACACTCTCAGCCTTCCTCCTACACCCTGCTACACCCTGCCTCCTTACTACACTCCCTGCTACACCCTGCCTCCTTACTACACTCCCTGCTACACCCTGCCTCCTTACTACACTCCCTTCTACACCCTGCCTCCTTTCTACACTCCCTGCTACACCCTGCCTTCCTATTACACTCCTTGCCTTCCAGCTACACTCCCTGCCTGCCTGCTACACTCCCTCCCTCGATATTACACTCCCTGCCTGCCTGCTACACTCCCTCCATTTTACACTCCCTCCCTGCCTGCTACACTCCCTCCCTCCATATTACACTCCCTGCCTCCCTGCTAAACTCCGTTTTGCAACATTAGCTTCCTTGATTTCTACTGCCTTTCCCAGGATGGAAGTGATTGTTGATTTGGATTTCCCGTACATCCTGGCAAGTTTTAGCACTCGAGCACCACTCTCATACTTTTCAACAACTTCTTTCTTAAATTCCATCGTGTTTCTCACTTTCTTTACCAAAGGAACTTTACTAGGAACTTTCTTTGGGCCCAACGGGTGCTTATTTCGCAGTTGTAATCTACAAAAAACTTCAGAAACAATGGATGAAGCCGGGAAGTATTCCTAATCCAACAAGA